TTTTTTTTGTATGTTTGTATCTACAGACTTGACAAAATCGTTTCTTCTTTTAAGAATGTTTTTCATTAACTATACAATTTTTTAGAAAAAAGTCAAGTACACAGTTTTAAAGAGCACAAAATTATTTACAAAACAGCCTTGTGAGTCAAGTTTGTATGGCCAATACTTCTCAAATTACATATATAGCTTGACATAACAATTTTTAATTGAAACTGGTGTCAAGTCATATGGAAAAAAATTTCTCGGAAATAACTCATAAAATATTTTTCGAAAATTATACAGAAAAGCTTTTTTCTAGAAAATTAAATTATCTACAAAAAATGATGTATACCAATTTTTCATAAAGTCGATCTTTCGGCAGATATTTGGCGATTTGTTTGTTTTTTTCAACACATTTGAAATTTAAAAAAAGGTTAATTTTTTTGCGAATAACCGATGAGATTTAAATTTTGAATTTAAAATGTAATGACTACTCGATACGTCAAATAATTTATGAAAATAAATGATCAATCTCTTTCTTTCATCTTGTAATTGTATTTATTTAAAGCTCAAACAAGTTCAGTCAAGTCTGTAATTGAGATAAACATTTTTATCTCACACGAAAATTTTTATTTCATCCTCTACTATCACTTTTTAAATTAGCACTTGAAAAAATAAATATTAGTCTACAACAGGACATTTTAAACTATGGGTTGCGACCCCAAACTGGGGTCGCAATATTTTATTGTAAAATATTTAATATTCTCTTTTATTTATGTTATTGCCGAAAATGCAGTTTTGATGAAAAATAGGCTATATAATTTTTGTAACTATAATAAATACAATTTTACAACTTTATGTGCAATTTTTAATTTCATATTTTTGTATGTTTTTAAACAAATTCTACAAATATATTTTTTTATATGTATATATATTGTTGCCTAATCAATGAATTATCACAAAATATTTTATTAATTATTTTATATTGTTTAGTTTGCGACAAAAATCACAATCATAAATGAGGTCGTGAATGAAAAAAGTTTAAGAAGCCCTGCTCTACTATAGAATAATACACCTTACTTTGTATTCTAGCATAACCAAAAAGTATATACACCTACATGTGCAAAACGAAATATCACAATTATTCTATTAACCAATAGAATATATTATTTCTGTTTTTTGTACTTTTTTCATATTAATGCACTCATAATTGCGTAAAATTCGCATTCTATTAATCTATCGAACTAGATACATTGCATTCTAACCAAGTATTTGCATTTCCGTTAGAGTCAGTAAAAATACTTGGAAATTGTTACACAAAAACTCTCATTTCTCGATTGTTTAATTTATACTATCTAGACTTAAGAATAGCACACACAATCTACTGTTACGTTGAAATACCGTTTTAAATTAAATTAGAGAAAAAGTGGTTCTGTTATCGACGGGTAATAATTCTGTAATATAATGTAATTTAATTAACATTTAAATGATTGCTAAGTTGCATTAATAAGCTGACGATATGCAGTCGTTGAAACAAATAATTCTCCATGGTGGTATCGACGGTTCACGATCATCTGCATGTCCTCCATCCTCCAGTTGGGCTCAGTCGGTTATAAAGTGCGTCAAACTGACATCGTGTGGGATAAAAAAAATCAGAGTGAGTGTCCTCTATGCCGAGAAACGCTTGGAAACTGCATGCAGCTTGTTTGGCATGAACGGGTGAATCGTTTGGAAATTTTACCCATAATCGAGGTACTACGTCGCAGATAATGAGGGCCACTCTCTAAAAGTTCTCGCGTTATCTCGTCGAGAACAGAGCAAGGCGAGAGATCGATTATCGTTAACATTCTCTGGTGAATTTCTATTCAGTTCTTAGGATCTGAAGTTACAGGACAAAATCTTCGAAGCAGAAGGTATGAAATAGCCGAGAAACAAACGAATTGTCTAGCTCGAAACGTGGAGTTGGAGTAACTTACAGTAATTAGCCCACGACAAGGAGATGGCAATGTACTTTCAAGTTAAGTTTATTTATTAACTAATTTATTCGAACTGTTCTTATGAGATTCGATGATATTTTAAACAAAATATGCAAATTTCGTCGAATGGTTTTTTTTGCAAGCAGCAAAGAAAATGTGCAAATGTGCCCGATTACGTGATAGCACGGTTTGAGAAAAATTCTTTTTAATTGTTTTTATACAATGAATTGTGTTTGGTTTATTATTTTGAAAAACACTTTTCCTAGTTGTATGAATATAATGAATTGTGTTTCATTTATAATTTTGTTGGATTTTCTTTGTATCGAGGCGCCTCTGTTAACGTTTTGAATAATAATTTATAGGAGGCTTTATTAATCTTTTTATGACATAAATTATATCATTCTTGTGTGAAGAGAAGTTCCAAATCTTCGAAATCGTTTGAACATACAATTCTGAAATATTCAGAAACATTTTTAATACTTCAGATGTTTCAGATAAAGGAATACTTTTAAATAAACGAGCTGCTTGTGCTATCATTTTATCGGATTAATCATTTTATCGGATAGATTTCTTCCATTGTTTATGGTTCAAAGACTTACTATTTTAATCAAATAATGTCAGATACTTAATCGAAGTTACTCGTGCTCATCTTCTACATTTTTAAAATATACTGCACAATTATGCATATTTATTTGTAACTATTTTCACGTGTTGAACACATTATGAGGTTTTATTAATGATTTAATAAATGTAGATTTTGTTTCTTTTGGAGCAGTACAGAAGAGGTTCGTTTCAAAATTTTATTCTTTAATGTAGGAGGTTTTCAGAAAATAATATTGGTTTGATTCGTAAATAACTTCTGCTGCAGGTAAGAAATAATCGTGCATTCCGGAAACTTCCTGCAGGTGCAAAGTTTTAATTTGACGGCTAAATTAAAGAGAACAGGTGATAATCAATGATTTAGATTTAAAAATGATATAAATTTATAGTGAAAATGTCGAATAGGGGAACCCACCCCAATGGCCTTGAACTTGACATATGTTATCAATGGTACTTTCCTGAGTAACTTCTTCTAATAACTTAATCGTCGTTCACTGCTTATTAAAAAGTTATTAACAAAAAAAGTTGGTATCTATTTTGATTACCGACCGTAATGTATTATACACAGCTAATGTATTTGTCTAATGCATATAATTTCCAGATATAATTAATTTTTGTTATTGAAACTTTGTTTACATATAAAGGGACGTTCAAAGAAGAAAATTTGACAGTGTAGATTTAATTTGAATGTATACATATATAGATATAGTAGTCGCAAGGAAAGGGCTCCACGCATCCCACCGTTTTGATCGAATCTTTTCCTTGCGACTACTATATCTATATATGTATACATTCAAATTAAATCTACACTGTCAAATTTTCTTCTTTGAACGTCCCTTTATATGTAAAAAGAAGTTTCGATAACAAAAATTAATTATATCTGGAAATTATATGCATTAGACAAATACATTAGCTGGACCAGACTCCCCCCTTAGGTATGTTGCAGAAATCAATATTTTGAACAACTTTTTCGTATACGTACAGGGTGTCCCAGAACTCCTGTAAGAACCAGAAAAGGGGCTAACTGACACGATTTTGAACAACAATTTCCCTTGCAAAAATGTCGGTGAGGGCTTCATTTTTGAATTATTAACGAAAAAGCACAGCGCCCGATTAGCGTAAGCTCAGATGCGAGAGCATAAGCTCGAGCTAGGACTGACTGGTTACGCCAGGTTGCTGCGTAGCCAGCTGAGCGCGCGCTAATCGGGCGCTATGATTGGTCGGTGTTTTTTGTTAATAATTCAAAAATGAAACTCTCACCGACATTTTTGCAAGGGAAACTGTTGTTCAGAATCGTGTCAGCTACCTCCCATTTTAGGTTCTTACAGGAGTTTTGGGACACCTTATATAACCTATATAACATACATAAAAAACACACAAAAGTCAAAAGATTTACGCGTAGTGTGCGATTGTGTAAACAGACAAGTTAATTTAGGTTATACATACGAATACACTATACAGGGTTTTCAAAAAAAAGCATTCAATATTTATATGCTGTATAGGGCACACTGTACTGAATAAAAAAGCTTTAGTAAACATAGGTCCAAAGGTCAATCGTTTCTGAGATATAAACATTTTTATTTACTAGTATCACGATTGACTTACTACTGGGTTTTCGATATTTATAGAAGATTTTCCGCGTGTCCACCGCTCATTTCTGTACACGAAATTGGAAAAATGAAATTGACGAAATTGTCGGCACTTGAATGGGAACATTCAGAACGGAATTTATGAACACTGACATTAACATCGCATGCGATGGAAGCAAGTAAGTCAATCATGTTACTAGCAAACAAAAATGTTTATATCCCAGAAACGGTTGACCTTTGGACCTATGTTTACTAAAGCTTTTTTACTCAGTACAGTGTGCCCTATACACCATATAAATGTTGGATGCTTTTTTTTTTAACACCCTGTATAGTTGCGTACGCGCATGCTACAATTGCTACAGCCACTGAAGGCAACCAAAAACATAGAGATGTTAGACAATTATACAATTATTGCCTGATAGAAAGACCTTCTGAATACTTTAAATAGTAGAATTTCTAAATGAACATCTGTATAGCTCCAAGTCGCCAAAGAGTAATCTATATTCTCGATTTAAACGCTAATTTCGACAAAAACAAAATACCTTTGTATTAAAAACATAGAGATTTTATAGATGAAGTAGTGAAGCCAGACTTTTGGCCCTACCACAGTTAAAAAGTAATTAAAAAACGGCGGTATCCTACCTGTTTCTGTCTACTGGTACATTTTTATATCATTCTTATGTTAATGACAAATGGTTATCGTTACATCGTTATATATATTATAAGCCTATATATGCATGCCTATATAGACAGGCCTGTTCTATCTATAATATTTCCATTATCACAAATCGTTCAATTACAATCCATGCCATCTTCTTGTCGTATACTACACGAGACATTGAACTTATTGGAAATGTCCTACACGGATTTCATCAACACTAATTTTGACAGACACCAGTTTCGACTAACACTACTTTGGGCAGAAATCAGTTTTAATCGACACTAATATCGTCCACGATATACTTTTTCTGCATTTAATTATGAAGATCGTTTAATTTAATTGTAACTATAATGTATGTAATTATCCACCCAGAAAATGTATATCGCAATCAATATTGGTGTCTATTAAAACTGGTATCGACGAAATCTATGTCGGTCATTTTCATGAGACTTGAACCTGTTCGCGAGTGGCCCTCGACGCTTGAACAAACGGATACAGACACCGAGGAAAAAGGATACATTCGGAATTGCGCGCTAAGTTCGCGAACGGGGAGAACGGGCGGCGGAACATTTGTAAATATTATGCAAATTGTGGAATACGATGTGTGCGCACGGGACACAAGCCGGACCAGTTGATCTTGACACATACACATGGACTGTTTTGAAGGTAACACCGACCGCGTAGACAGAGAGCCCGACGTTCGAGGATCGAGAGCGGACGAGAACGATTTTGTCGATACCAGCGTTACGATGTCGGAAAATCCAGTAAGCTTCGTGGTCGGGGATCCCGACGCCGATCCGAACGAGGAATTGGAAATCGAGGATAGCTTCCCAGACGAAGGGTCCGATCTCAACGTTCTCCAAGCCCAGCAGAATGTCCTTCCAGGATTGGTTGAACGCCGCAAGCGGCTCAGGTGATTTTTCTTCTTTTTTTTTTTGGTTTCTTTTACATCGTTTCAATTGAAACAGGTATACCGTGACCATTAAACTGGGAACTATTATTTATTTATTTTTTTTAACTTGAGAAACACCGGGGGAATCTTCGTCTATTCGATTGAAATGTGAGGTACTTGGATATTTCAATAAGCGGGAAGTTCACAGGGTTTGACGTTTTGTTGAAACGTGGACAAAGACGAGATAATCGGTTGGAATATTTATTAAGACATGTAATTACCGTGATTGTTAGACTAGAATTCGTAATTTTTGTTTTGAAATTGGAGAAATTTCAGGAATATCTTCCTGTACTTGATTAAAAGAATGAGGTACTTAAGACACTTAAGCAAGGGCAATTCCAAAATCCCTTCGTATCTATGGACCATCTTGTGGAATCGTGGACGCAGACAAGATAATCGATTGAAATATTTATTGGAACGTTTAATTACTATAACTATTAGACTAGAACTTTTAATTATTTTTTTAAACTGGGGAACCCTTCTATTACTTGATTTCAACACGAGATACTTGAGGAGGAAGTTTCATAGCTTCATTCAACAATTGTTTTACGTAAACAATTTATTTACTCGAAGATCTGCTTGCTGTGGATTTATTATACAGGGTGTTAAAAAAGAAGCATTCAATATTTATATGGTGTATAGGGCACACTGTACTGAGTAAAAAAGCTTTAGTAAACATAGGTCCAAAGTTCAACAGTTTCTGGGATATAAACATTTTTGTTTGCTACTATCATGATTGACTTACTAATGGGTTTTCGATATTTATAGAAGATTTTCCGCGTGTCCACCGCTCATTTCTGTACACGCTTGGCATCTTCGTCTTACAAAGTCACGAACTCTCTCGAAAATCCCACATTTCTGTCGAATTATTTGACAAGCATGGTGGATTCGGTTACATAGTTCTTCTAGGTCATTTATCGGCGTGGAATACACTTGGCTTTTTAAATATCTCCATAAAAAGAAGTCCAGTGGATTTAAATCGGAGGATCGAGGAGGCCATGCAACTGGCCCACCACGTCCATCCACCTTTGACCGAACACCGTGTTTAAGTGCTTACATAAAAAATTACATAAAAAATTAAGTGTTTACATCAAAAATCTCAATTCTGACTAAATCTCAATGAAATCTACTGTCGGCACTTGAATAGAAACATTCAGAACGCAATTTATAAACACTGACATAAACATCGCATGCGATGGAAGCAAGTAAGTCAATCATGATACTAGCAAACAAAAATGTTTATATCTCAGAAACGGTTGACCTTTGGACCTATGTTTATTAAAGCTTTTTTACTCAATACAGTGTGTCCTATACACCACATAAATATTGAATACTTTTTTTTGAACACCCTGTACATACCATATGAGTTATCTAAGACATCTTCTTAAAATATTTCCGTCGCTTTTAATGATACGGATATGTGTCTCGAGAGAAAAGTGTTGAGTTCAGAGAGAGACATACTATGATAAACAAACAAATTATTTCGAAGTTATATTTTCCGAGATTTCAAGCCATTGACGTTTCTTTTTAAACGGGATTAAGTATTTCCATTATCATAATCTTGTACCTGATAAAAAGACAAATTCAAACATGTATAATATTTTGACCTCCGGGTGACCTGAAAAGTTATTCTTGTAGAATCATACTCCAACGTAAAAAGTTAATTAAATGTTCACGTGTTTAATATTATTAAATATACAAAAATAAAATGTTATAAAATGTATTGAAATTTATGTCCCTCTATACATTTTTTTAAATTCATTTTATAATAAATGTTGCACGTTATTTAGAGTTAGTCGCATATATTCAGGAGTAATTGATTGGCTTAAATGAACTTTATTCTTTACTATTCCTCATCGGAAATAATCAAACGGGTCTAAATTACAAAGTCATCTGGAGGTCTCAACATAGTACACAATATTAAATTTGTCTTTATATCAGCTATAATTCAATTTCGATAATGAAAATCTACCATCTAGTTTGAAAAAAGGAAAAACGCCAATGACCTTGAAATCATAGAAAATATGACTTTGAGATAATTTTTTTGTCTATCATAGTATGAACCACACCTAATCAAACATTTTTCTCCTGAGACATATCTTCATATCATTAAAAACGCTGGAAATATTTTGAACAGAAGTCTTAGGTGAGACTACCTCTGAATATTGAACAATACGAAAATCATTTTTATTTAGATGCCGAAGCTACGCCAAAATTGACTATCTTTTAACATTCTCCTGTACCAATACCCTTTATTGCCGTGACTATTAGACTAGAACTCTTACTTGTTTTTTTTTTTAACTGGTAAATCATCTGGAGAATCCTCATGTAGTCGAGCTATACTTGATTAAAACTCAAGTTACTGAAGTTCCTTCGACAAGGGTCCCAAAGTCTTCAGATTTCGACGTCTTGCGTAATTCGTACGAGGAAACGAAATAATCGGTTGGAAAATTTGGTCAATACGTTTAGTTGGATGCTGTGCCATTAACGAACCGGTTTTACAGGGCCTTTGTGTTCGACGAAGGTGTTGAACAGATCCGAAGCGAAGTGCCATTGTGAACGGATGCATTGATTTATTGTAATTATATACGATGAGATGACAATGATTTTCAATCGTTCAACAAAGACTTATCGTTGCGAGAGTGTTGAGAGACTACAATTATAGACATCTGCTACTATTGTATTACGTTTTTCTGCATATTCGTTATTAATATTTTGATTAAGTTTCAGTAATATTATTTGTTAGAGAATGTTCGGGAGCAGATAGTAAAATTGTTGGCCAAAAGTAAGGCTTCTTTGGAAATCAATTCTGAAAAAAATACATGTCGAATGGAGTAATCTCCTCCTTTTTCAAAGTCGGTTAAAAATAAATTCAAATCCTGACTTTTCCTTGTATACAATGTATTTGTGTATCTTAGAGATTAAGACAAACTTTTGTCAGGTGTATAAATGTGTGTTGAAAATGGCCATGTAAGGGTTTTGTTAAAAGGGTTATTGATTTTGCAGTAATTCAAGGATTAAAAATAAAGTTGGTGGTATTTCTTTGACGATGGTCATTTTAGAAACCTGTAATTTTGTGCTGAACCTGTGAAGATAGAAATGAGAGCACAGTGGTTGAAATAGGAACTATAAATTGGCTTATAAACATTCATCGATTTAAGGAGCTATTTTATTTTTTCTTTCAGATAGTATATTTTTCACAAGTTCAGATCCAAATTGCAGACTTCTAGAATAACCATCTCGAAGAAAATTTCGATGTCGATATACTTCAAGCTATGATTACTGCAGAGCCAACATTACTCTTTTAATAATGTTTATTCTAAATATATTAAATTAATAAGAATTTTTCTTAACTTTCAAGAATTAAGATGCATATAAAAATAAACATGGACGAGGAAAAGTCTGGACTGTAATGTAAGTTTAAATGACATAACGACATTTATAAAGCAATGTAATTTAATGAAAAATTAAATTTATAATATAATTGAACATACTAAATTATTGAAATTCGATCTCAGAAAATATTGTCCCCTCAGCTGGTTTTAATTTTCGCTTTTCGACGAGTTTTACGCGCACAATCAACATTAGTGGACGAAATCTAATATGCAGGCCTTCTGTAATAGCCGTAATCGTGACAATTCTCCATTCGTTCGAGGACGGGGCTGCAGTCACCTTATGACTTGTTCAAATATCGTTGAATATTTATGAGCTATACAGTTAGTAAAACGCGAGGAATCATTCTTGCGCGTCTATTTCACGGTATATGCGCCTAAATGCATTAAATTCCACAAAAAAAATAATGTGAAACTCGAGGAGAAATATTTTTTCTTCGTCGTAATCCTGCAGTATTAATAGCAACCCTACTATGGCAATGCCAACGTTACTAAACTAACATTCGTTTCTAAAATTCATGAGTTGATTTTCATCGTTCTTTATCCTTGTGATAATTGCGAATTAAATAAACAATCACTTTTTATAGAAAATACTGGCTTAAATGTCGCAAACGGAAGTAATTGGTAGAAGATGAATTTAATTCTTGTGTAAAAGTTAGTTGAAGTTAAGAAAATGGGGTACCCTCCGATCGGGCAGATTTTTTTATCATAGGTAGCCCTTGACTTGTCGATTCCAATGGTGGTCACTTCACCCTTAACTCTCCCCTCTCCCACGGGTCAAAAACTGAAATAGTCTAAAAAGTGTTTTTTGTGCACAACTCGGTGAATACATCATTTGAAACTGTTTTTTCCGTGAAGGAACATCAGTTTTTTACATTAACAGTATTTAATATTGCCGCTCCATTAAAAATTACCCTAAACCTACTCGGGTAGTATACAGGGTGGTCCACGCAATTGTTTCAAGTCATAACTCCGTTATTATTGCATTTGATTCAAAGAGCACTACATGTGTAGGCCTTACAATTTTTTTTGATGCAGCAGTGCATATGCAATTAACAATTGTATCATTTCTTTAAATAGAAATGCATAATTTTTTTTACACAGATCGATTCTTTTGTTCATTCTACGTAAAAAATAATTAGGGTACCATGGCAAACAAATTATTAGTTCTCGAGATATGTTCAAAAAATGTCTTTATTGAAGAAGATGCTTCAACGCTTCTCCATTACATTCTAAACATCTCTGATAACGTTTTTTTTAATGTTTGTATAACTGCGTTTAAATTATCTGCATCACACAACACAAAAGTATCGTACATATCTTGTTTCCCACTGTTAGTAGAATACATTTTCTTGTATTTAGTGAAATATAGTTACACTTTTTCAAATTCTTAGTTTTTGTACTCGACTTACGATACGTGCATTACTACAGAATGATGGAATGCTTACTCGTGTTTACCTTACTATCTAGTCATGCGTTTGAGCATCTTTTTCAATAAAGACATTTTTCAAAAGAAATTTTTTGAAAATATCTTGAGAACTAATAATTTTTTTGCCATGGTACCCTAATCATTGTTTACGTAGAATGAACAGAAGAATCGATCTGTGTAAAAAAAAATTATGCATTTCTATTTAAAGAAATGATACAATTGTTAATTGCATATGCACTGCTGCATCTAAAAAAAATTTTAAGGCCTACACATGTAGTGCTCTTCGAACCATTTATCTTTCTCCTTGGCATTTTTTCGTAAATGCAATAATAACGGAGTTACGACTTGAAACAATTGCGTGGACCACCCTGTATACATTAACGATATTCAATATTGCCGCCCCCACCAAAAGCTACCTTAAATCTACTCGAGAGCAGATTTCAGATCTAGCGCTATGATGTTCCTCAACATAAACAAAAAAAAATTGGGAATGATGTATTCACCGAGACCGGTGCAAAAAAAAAAACAATTTTTGGGCCATTTCAGTTTTTGACCCCTGGGGGGAAGGCAGGGGGACTTAAGGGTCAAGATGACCACCATTGTAATCGTTAGATCAAGGGCTACCTATGATAACAAAATCAGCCCGATCGCAGGGGTACCCCATTTTTTTTAACTCCAACCCGTATTTTCCATAATCGAGTGTCAGTTTAACTAAAGTTAACTTTCTTATCTGATCTCAACGAACGTTTTATGTTAAAATAATGAATAATAATAAATGTAACGCATTTATAATGCTACCTAAATATCAACACAAAATAGATATATAAACAGATATTTTTTAATTTATATTATGTAGGTAGTTTGAATGTTACATAGAAGTTCTGTAATGATAAATTACTGTTTGTAATGAACATGACGATAATGTTAAAGTTACCAACTTTTGTGCGAATCCATTCAACATAGAGCTTGTGTTACATTAACAAAAAAATATTGGTGGACCGTTTGGGACATGTGATTGTGTTGAATCTCACACAAAATTTTCCAACACTGTTCTTTCGCATACTAAGTTAGCTTGTTACTTTGGAAAATCTGGTTGTGGCCTCGAAAGATTATTTTCGATGGCGTGATCTCCGATAAAATGTGGACCACGGCTCTTTGTACAAGTAGATCACGAAAATAGTGTGCGTTATCTACTCTCATAAACGAAGTACGATTGTTTAGGCTAGTTTTCGATTTACTGAATAATCTACAGCTAAACATGTCGCTATTCTTCTATTTCAAGATTGAAAATAAAACGATTTACGGTTCAACAATATTAGATTGCTTAAATTCGATCTTAAATTCGCTACTTCTTTAATTTGTCAACAAACAATCAGAGTTTACTTTTTTGTATTATTATTTTAAATAAGATCTTCTTTGAATAACTGAAATAGCAACCAAAACGTACGAGTTGATCGAAAACTATACCTAAAAATGAAATGCAACGATTCATGAATAATCCGAGAATGTGATTAAAAAATGAATAAATCGTCTTGGTTTTACTGCCGTCGATTTTTTATTAAAATCACACTTCTCGATACTATTTTAGCTCACACTTTTATAATATTTTAATATACATAGTAATCGATTAATTAATGTACAATTAACTTTTTTCTCTCTTAACACTTTATTTACTAGTCTCTTTAGAAACAGTTTCCAATTTAAAATAGAATTTTCTATATAAGTGTGTAGTAATCTAAGCTAACATTAAATTCTACATATTGTATAATCGGTATAATAAAAGATTTATCTGTTTTCTTAAATCGACCATTGTAAGTAGATGACCAACAACTCACTTAATTACTATAATTCCTGCAAATAGTTCCTGGAATAAAAAGTCTATAAATACACTACATAAAGTGTTAATATGACATTTGTTGCCATAATTTTTTAAGCAAACATGTACATTATTCCTATGCCAATAGAACTAAAGACTATGTGATTGCTAATCCGATCGGAGCATGATTAGATCGCACACGACACGCTCGTAGAGAGTTAACAAAGTATTGATATCGATTCAACAAATTGCACAGTTTCCTATCTTATTTATAGACGAATAGTTTGAATGCATTCGTGGAACATACTATATGTACATTCAGAACGATTTTGATAAAGTAACGAAATTTATTATCGTTTCGAAAATGAGACATTAACAGATAATTATAAATTGTTCGATAAAATTATTATCGGTGTGTGAAATAAACTAGATTGCGAGTGGCATTAAATTTCAGCTAATTATCTCTGTACTTTGAATTATTAATTAAGAGATGATGATCGTGACGCGTTGTCTGGCAGTGGTTTTTGAAAAACATAAACCATAACGTGTGATTTCTGTATTCTCGTACATTGCCAATCAAGTTTCGTAATCTCAGTCGGTTATATAATTATAGCGACATTTAAAACAGTTGAGCAGGCTGCAGGTCTTTCGCATTGCATAATATTAATAATGTTGTCAACAAATGTTTTCACGGATAGTTTAATTAGACTTCTTCGGTCATTTTCTTTGAACAGAATCGCGTATGAATAAACAACGTTAGAAAAGTTCGTGTACTTTTTATTTATTCTATGCAGTAATGCTGAATAAATATGCTGAATAAATGAATTTATTTACATGCTTTGTAAACATAAGATCAATTTATTGAGACTGTTTAAACATTTAAATTATGAGAATGTAGTGGTTTTTTAATTCGCGTCTGCTCGTGATGAAAAGAATAAGAAAACACTTTACAACAATTTGTTATTATTAAATAGAACACAAATATTTCTTCCATCCCCATGGGAAAATAGAAATTGTCAAATTATGTCCAGTTTCTTACTGATTCTGACGCTACTGCGTCTCTAGATTAAATGATATTCAATAATATATTAAATTTCTATTTCCTTTATATTAAATTATGTTAAATAACCTTTTCGTAGTCGGCGCAAAATTAAAAATTTTTAATTCCTGCTTAAGTTAGTTTTTGGTGAAGGCGGTAATGTTGAATGCTGTTAATGTATACATGTACACATGAGGACCAAAAAACAAAACTCCTTACAATTGCTCAAGACTAGAGTTTTACGTGATTTCCGAGTACTTGCCTCGATGAAATGTAATAATGGAGAGGGCCATTGTCGTTCCATTCTCTTTCCTGGTCGACTGTGTGAGGGTTCGTTAGAATAAGAAACGCTACCAGTAGTTACTGATACTAATAATGAGTTATTACGCGCCTGTTTGTCGTTTTATAAACCCATTACTTTCGGGTGGGGGCAGGTATGGCCAAAATTACTTCTAATCGAAATTAATTAAATAAATGTTTCCTATATAAATAGGAAAAAAATACAAAAACAGAGTTAAATTGGGATTTTTGTACCTTTACTCAATTGTTCCTAACTTCGGTATTTATCCATAGATTTTCTCCAACAGAAGCTTGTTTTCTTCGTAAAAGTGCGATCTATACGTAAACAATAAGAAACTGGACATAATTTGACAATTACTATTTCTCCATGGGGATGGAAGAAATATTCGTGTTCTATTTTATCCGAAAAAATCAAAGTTTCTCATATAAATTGGCTCGTAATACTTAGACTATTGAACCGATTAGAAAATAATGTGAAACGCAATTGTTGGAAATTCGATTATCTTTAAAATGGCATCTTGCGCGATTCAATCGGACGTTTCTAAATCGAGATATGGCCCGACATATGAAGGTATGTCAGAAAAAAAAAATTCATATAAAAAAACCTATCTATAGAAAAATTTTTCTTTGGATTTTCGAGTTTAGTAGGCTAAAATACATAAGAAAAAAAATTGTGGCATTGAATGTACATTTTGCCTGTAAAGCTCTAAATTGTAAAGCGTTACAGTCGAATATCTCCGAAAATATTGATTATACACAAAAATGTTTCAGATGAAAGTTGTTCAATACTGAGGAGGGCATCATGTGGTGGAACTTTTATTTCTCCCGATAGACACTCCAAAGTGAGGGGAAGGTCAATTTTCATTTTTTAAATGGAATGTTACGGGTTTTTATCCACCATCAAATAGTATGTTTTAAGACAAACTTAACAACCTATGACTCAAGGTCATTCAAGATCAAACTTGCAGGGAAATGGACAAAATGTGTGAACGTTACCTGTATGAAGTTATCAACCCATTTTGAAAATTTTAAAATTCCAAAAATTGTTCCAGGTTGTTCTAGACTTGTTCTACATTTTTCCAGAAGATAATATTTTTATAATAAATATTTTAGCGGAAAATTGAAAACAAAACAGTTTTTTGACCTGGCACCTCATTTTTCGAAAATCAAATCTTTCGTGGTTGTTCTAGATTGTTTTAGTTGTTTCAAACATTATTCGAAAGTGGTAATTCTCCAGACACAGAATTTAAAAAGATATAATAAAAAAAACGATATCGAGCGCACAAACAGTATTCTTACATCTACGGCTATCTGGATCGTCTTCTGAATACCGAATTGCATATTTAAGCTAATAATTAACGTAACAACTTGGAATAACTTTGCTTTTTGTCAGAACAAATTTTTTAAGGGCACTTTACTCTTAGCAGTAAACATATTTTTAACTTCCCGATTTATTGGGAAGTTATTGTATTTGCCCCTAAAATGAAAAATCGATTTTTTAGCAGATCTCCATGTTTCAAGGCCAATGGAGTAATTTTAGCCTATTTTTAACTAGGTGAATAACTTTTTATAAAAATACAAAAGTATTTCGTGAAAAGTACTTGCATTGGGAACTTTTTGAATTTCGATGTTTATTTACAGGCATCCAAAAAAGCAGATATGTAATTCTAAACGAATATATCTACATCTTCAGAAAACTGTCTCCTATCTTTTGAGACTAATTAAAACGTTCTAGCGTTTATAGTTTTCAAGTAGGACTACGTTTCTCTCAAAATTGTTCGATTTTACAAAACCTCGTGTTTTTCGAAAACTGAGGATGATGGAGCAATTTGGGTTTCAGATTCGTATTTAGAGCGAGGAACACTATAAGTATCAGCCAATGGATATCGCAAAACCTAAAAAGAGTTTAAATTTCTTGGACAGTGATTCAATATTTTCGGAGATATTCGACTGTAACGCTTTATAATTTTCACCCTGTATACTATTTAAACTCCTAGTATTTCATCTAGTTTCATAACTTATTTTTTATCTACTGAAAGGAACTTTTATTTAATCGAATATTAATTTTGTTGAACGGTACTTTTGCATTCTTACAATTTTGCAGTATGTTTGTGATACGTCTGTTTCTTGTTACGTGAACAAATATTGAACGAAGTACAGTAAAATCTCGAGCACTGCAGGAGGCTTGAGCTGAGAGCTGCAATAATCAAGGTAACCCATTTCTACTACTACTTTCCACTTATTACTTCATGACTACGCCCTCCATTCGTCAATAGCTTACAATGGTCGAAGCTCTAGTGCAATAATCGAGGTTCTACTTGGATCTTTAATATGATCAACTATATTTAGTCCATTATATTATACATTTCTTTTTAACAACACTTTTCTCCATATATCTCTCCATTGAATGTGCTCTTTCGCAATTGTCTTTCTATCTTCGATGTGCTTACTCGTTAATAGTGACTTCCTTTTTTTTCCGTTAGATGTGCTAAGAGTTTTGCAAAATACATTCTATATCTCTCACCTGTATAGATAGTTTTGCTTCACATGCAATTTGGCTGGCTGTCAATGTAGTATTAGACGCTACTTTTAATATTTCATATAGGCCCCCTGAAAAAGAAGTAAGCAAACTATTATGCGAATAACATAGAACAAATAAAGTCAAAGTACAACTTAGTCGTGACGTTTTGTGAAATATTTAATTCTATTCAAAATCTAATTTTTACCGCTATCTCTAATTTTGCAACGAGTATTAAAAGTTGTGCTTTTTATTTATTATTCGAAATTTGTATCTGGATAATAATTTTAGCCATTTCTACCACCATAATGAGTCACGAAAAATATTTTGACAAGCTATACGTAGATCTTTATATATAATATTAGATGTGCGATGTCGCATCATAAGAATATTTGATCGAATTGAAAAGTGTTTTAAGATACTCACTAAATTCACTGCCAAGTTAATTTCGTGAGACTCCCTGGCCTGAGCTCGTGGTATATTCATCATAATTTATACCTTCAACGCAGCACTTTTGCTTCGAACAAATCGATCCAAAGTTTCCACGTAGGCCACGCGTTCCAACATCCATTGGATTTTTACATAGCGATTTCTCCATTCGTATTTGAATGTCGTGCGTTAATATATGACGTCGCAGTAATCGAAACATTAGACTCATGCGTAAATGCATGACATGACGTTCAGCGTGTTAATAGTTCAAGCTAAACTCTTGAATGTTTAAGAAAATTTCTGTTCCTGCCTTTAGTGGCACACTACAGAACAAAATTTTCGAGGAATGTGTTAGAATAAAAAATTGCTTTTATTAAGTTACTTCTTATTAAATTTTACCTATTCCAACCAGATAACATAAATTTTCTTAGTACGTCGGGTAACCTACCATTTTATTTTATAATTATTTTAAATAATTGTGTAAAATGAATTGATATTATTTCTATTTTTAAATAACGGTACGAAATAAATTATTTCAAATAGCTATTTCTCATTTTCATTTTCAGTTAAAATTTGAATCCTATTAGACAGTCTGGCATTAATTTAGCAACACATTTTTTTGTTACGTTATCATAATTATTTAAATTTATTTTATGCATTTCGTATATGTGTGTTTCTTTATGTAATAACAAACAACTAGTATACCGTTCTTTTTACTAACTAAGAACAACTATGACGAATGAAAAATAAACACAGAAGTGGGTCACGAGGCAAACAAGATTGAGAAGCACTGGTTTAGAACGCATGGTCGTTCTGTGCATTTCACCGTAATTTACAGAAGTGTCAATTAAATTGAACAATCTTGGAAAACATTATAAAATATTTATATAGAAATTGGATTTAATGGAGTGGTTTAGCCCACTTCTAGTCCGACAATTATCAATATGGCGAGCTTAGCAGTGTTAAGTGTGGAACGCTATTGATAACACAATCGGAGAACCTTTTCACGTGCAAAAATGTTGCGTTATCGGAAGAAATAGATAAACCTGCAGTCGTAAGAATAAGGTATAATTTAGACAGGAATTCTACCGTGAAACTACATAAAATCTTCACTTTCAGAAAGAAGCGATTTGTTTGTTTTTCATTTTCAGTTACATTTCTATTGGGTAATTTGTATATTATATATATAATAAATATATAAATACCATAGTGATCATAGAACTCTATTAAAATTATACTGATTATTGTTTAGTGAAGTCTTATATAATCAATATACAGTGGGTGTAGAATGTATTCGTACACCGATAAATTTCCCAAAAAACTTTTGTGTGAAATTGCAGTTTCTTAACTTCTTTTTTTATAATCAATGATATTTTACAACATTACTAACAACAATTACTAGTTAATATAATTTATGAATTAACAAAAAATTGCGAAAAGTGGGTAAAAGTATAGACGCAATAAGTATTTGTACGATTCTTATGACGAACCATTTACAGTAGAGTTTATAACATAAACACATTATGAATTAAAAAACATCAAATTTCCAGTAAAGTACTTTTAAAAAAGGCTCTAATAGAGGAATTGAAAAAGATCCCACTTCGAATAACTAATAATTTAGTTAATTTAATAATTATAAAATCAAAAGGAAATCCCACGAAAGAAGTATTAATGTAAATTAATGTAAATTTCTTTTTTTTTTTTAATGAAGTTTTAAAAATTAAACAGTTGTGCGAATAGTTATTGTTTCAATG